GCAAAACAAAAAATTAATTCCTAAGAATGAAAAATAGGTTGTGTCTTCTATTGTATCTCCACTCTGGCAATGCAAAGCATATCTTAATAGTGAACAACCTTTAAGAGTTAACTGATAGTAATTTAGAGTCAAAGCATCCATTCCTTTTCATCAGTATGAGCTTCCATGAGAGCGTGTAGAGACAGCACCAGTGAGTCATACCACACAAAGAAACAGTTCTCATGGGCTGGGCTACCGTACATTACACAACTCCTAACGATCAAAGAGATACAGTGATTGACAAAGGATGGTAGCATAAAGCCTGGACCTCAGCAATCACCCCTAACCACAGCAGGAAAAGTTTGTCTCCTGTTGGCTGAGTGTCAATTCCACAGTAAATGAGAAACTGAAAAATACTTATCCTACAAGGGAAAATCAGGCCACTGTTTTTTAAAGCATCAGGCTATATCTCTACTTTAAGGACTCAAAGCTGAAGAAGTATTACTTACCCTAATTGCTTGCAAAACTGTCTTTCATGTTGTTGTTTTGTTTATCCACTCTTACATAACTTTGTATTAACCTGCTATGAAAGTGACATTCACAAGTAAAACTACAAAAAAATAAAAAGCACCACCAACCAGCTGTTTAAAACGGCAATCTGTCAGTCCCCTGTACAATTAAGCAGCAAATGACTCCAGGCTATTTTTCCATAGCCAATAAAGCATCTGACATTTTAACTGTATTACGTTAGTCATCAGCAGGAGTGGCAGAAAGCTGCCGAGTGATTAAAGCTACTAGACTATGGAAAACGTATGAAGATATAATCTCAGAGTACCAGCCTTTGCAATTTGGGCAACATTAAGTATTTCAAGGGAGTTTCATTTTGAATGTGAGGGAGAAGAATCCTACAGAGCACACAGATTTCAGAAAGGAAGAGGTGAACATTGAAAGTCTTTTCCTAGTTTTATTTCTCTGCTGGGTTACCTGTTTCCAGAGTGGGTGTGCAGACAGGGAGGTAGCAGGCCTGGTGCAGATCCTGTCTTAAGGCTGGCCTACTTTTAGAGTAGGTTAATGACTAGTCAGAGGCTAATTCAGTAAAGCACAGGGAGACGCCAGGTGATGCCTCAAGACAGACAGCAGTGCAATCAAAGAATGTCCACAGCATGTGTTTCTATCTCCTCTCTTTGTGTTAGAAATTAAGAGCAAAAATGAAACTGTAGTCAGCAGCCCTTTTTGATACAAAATGTCATTCAAGTTCTATGAAAAAACACAACTATTGTTGAAAAAACATTAAAGCTTTACCAATATTAAAAAGTCCAATTTCTTATTTTTTCTTTTTTTTTAATGTCCAGAACCTTCAGTTCAGATAGCATCTGTCTTCAGGTTGTACTGCTGAAGATATGTTTTTGCAAGAATGGATCTGACTTTGCTGCCAAAACCGACAACTATTCCCAGGGAAAGACAAAGCAGCAAAATGTCAACTAAGTTTGCCAATGGAAGTTCATACAGGAAAAAAAAGGGAAAGAAAGAATTCATTCTGGGCAGGCCAGAGACATGGTCCCAAGGCAACAGGCTAACACTTCAGTAACTGAATTAATTAGGTAAGATAGTGGAAATTGATAAGGGTTCAATCGCTGATGAAAATGAACTCAGATTAATACCACAAACAACAGCTAATGGCATTCTAAAACAAGACAAAATAGCAGAGATCAAGTGGATGGTATTAATTATTGAAAAAACTATTGCTGCTGAAAGAAAGGAATTGCATTTCATTCCAAAAATCAGTAATGTGGGTGTTACTTATACAGTTCAGATTCTCAATGCTGTTTCATAAATTGTTTTCTATGTTTTGTCATACACAGTAATAATGTTTACACTTCCAAGCAAATAATCTCATTAAGAAGGACTGTTACTCCTTCTAAAATTAAATCTTAAGTGCTGTACTTTACATTGCTCCATAGATTAAAAAATAAATAATTACCACCATAACTGATATTATCTATAACCGCCAGGAAGCAATTCTATAAATAACCTGTTCCATGTTCCTTTCATCATCTAATTGATCAGGCTCATCCAAGTTACAGCAATTCCACGATATAAAGAAAGACAAATAAATGACAATTGCTGTCAGAGCAGCACTACAATTTCCAATAACCCTGAGTAATAAGAATCAGAAAAGGCCACTGCTGAATCACTTCACCATTACATAATGTCCATTTAAGGCTCCTTGGCAGCTGTGGCAGGAGTGTCTGCACTTAACGTTAGTGAAGCCACTCTGTACTGCACAGTTTTCTCTGAAGGAGCACAGCCTGACCATCCGGGCCCGAACTCCGCAAACCGACCCATCCCCTGGGGCGGTGGGGCTAAATTCTACTGCACGGTAATTCAGAATTAAGATCAGATTTTAATACAGCACTGGTATCTACACAAACGTGTTTCAAAACGTGGACATCTGACGGATAAAAACAACCAAGGAGAGGATGATGTGAGACCCCTGTGGACAGGGTATACTGGAACGCCGAACTCTCGCTTGCTTTGGTTGCAGTGACAGACAGGCGCCCCCCTGCCACTAGGAGTCGGAAAGGTCTCCTTCTTCCGTGTTTCCACCTGATGGGCCTGCTGTCAGCCTGCACAAGAGTGAGGTGTAATTAATCTGCATATGTCTCCTCTGCAAAAAAATGGAAATATGAATACTGCAGACACATACCTAACAAACATATCAGGCCACTTTCAAAGCGATTTGCTCCAGCCCAATGCTTTATCCACATTTTTCGACCCTATCCGAAAGCTGGAAACCTTCCAAAACTACCTAAGCAAAAAGCAAAAGCTCGGTTTTATGAGGCAGCAAGGTGACATGGCTAATGTTGCTGCCTCGCAGTGCTTGAGTCCTTGGCTCAATTCTAGACTAAGGCAGCTTGTGTGTACACTGCATATATTCTACCCTGGAGTTCTTTTCCAGGTGGACTATTTTCCTCCTACCTTCCAAAGACAAGCTGGCATGGTTAACTGGCATGTCTGAACTGGCTCCATGGGCGCACCCTGCAATGGTCATGTGGGGACTGTGTTAGACAAGGCAGATAGGCCCACTGATTCTCCACGTTGTGGCTTGGGACAGCGCGAGCGTGATAGCCTATCACGGGCTGCATACAAGATTCTGATTTTTATCATCTCGACACATTTTTCAGAACTAAAAAATTAAAACAAAAGTAATCCAAGCAAATTGAGAGTCAAGCTTTAGTTTTACAGCTCGGTAATACATTCGGTCACCTTTCCTCTTGCATGGCAAGCAAGTGTTTATCACTGTCACTCATTTCTAAAACTATCAAAACTAGTTTTTCCTGTCATCTTCAACCCAACACACATTGGGAACATGTTTCTGCACCTATTGTGACTACATAAGGCATTATCTGCAGTTGTCCAATAAACAGTAGCAACTGTGACCTTGTTTCATAGATGCACCAGATAAGATTGTATTCCATACTTTATATTCAGATTGCTTTTGTTTCAATGCTTTCACTCAGACTGACACTTTTAACATAGTATCTTCCACTGTGCTCATTTAAACAACAATCATTCCATTAGGATGGTGTAATGCACTCAGCCTGTCTGTAAGGCATAACGTTACACTGTAACTATTTGTACCTTGGCTCAGGTCAGAGACCACACTATATGATTTATGGAATAGGCCCTAAATTTAATATGATGTCACCATTCCAATCAGAAGCTTTAAAATCAAACTTATCTGCATTAGTTGGGCATGAGCTTTTACATTACTTTGGGCAGTACTCAAGTGTTGTGAGCTAACACACAACCCTAAACAAGGCAGCACTCCCATTCTTCATTGTGTGCATTAGTTCAGTAGGCACTTTAATCAAATTATATTTTACTAATTGGTACTGTATGTCCATCCTATGTACAAAAGCAGATTCATATTTCATTTTTTCTCCGTATCATTATCAGTGTGTAAACATGCGTAAAAAAGCGTGGTTTAGAGGCTGCTGCAGTAAATAACGTACTGTACTCCAAGGCCATCACATCTTATCTTGAAACGAACATTTCTGTTACAGATTGGACACACTGATAACAAACGTTTAGTCGAAATGTTTAGTTCAGTGGAAAATTATTCTATCAAATCAAAACAATGATCCTCTTTGGATTAACTGTGATTTGAGGAGCAAATGCTAGAATGAATGAAATATTGTAAGGGATCTAAAACTATTTTTTTTTAGTATTTACCAGAACGACATGAATTCATCATCAGTCGTGCGGGGTGTTTGGGTACTTGGGAAACTTTGGGTTCTCCAGATCACGGTTGTATTAAGGTTCGGATGTGTTTCGGGACGTGTATGAGAGGCTACCCCAGCTGTGTCCTGTACTGTATATCCATTTGGGTCTTTTCTATTGCCAAGGTCGTTACCCATTACGCAACTGTGAAAATTGCCATTAGTTTGAAGGGGGCGGTCTGACAGTCAATTTGGCAGTTTTACGATCAGCATCAATACTTGGGTCTCTTGCTGTGAGATCAGAAGTACAATACCGCATGACTGCGTGGTGTCTGTTCTTACATAAGACGCCACAATTGCTGTGCGCTCAGACAAGTACGGTGATGTTCAAATTACATACTTCGGAGGACAGAATATTTATAATAAGCCTTCCAGCCAGTCGGGTGCAACGAAATTAGTGGCAAATATGTGATTTAAAGAGAATAACAACGTTTCCAGGAAAGTGCCGTGGAAGACAAAATACTTTTGTGGATGAAAGGTGGGGCGCATTCCTGACAGTCAACTATTATTCTCAAACTGAGTGTTATGAGCAAATATAAAGTCAACAAAGACGAGCACGTCTTACAGTTGGTGGTGCCATGGCCATACACAGCGGGTTGATCACACGATTTACAGAACTACCCTGAGTTTCAGGTAGGAATTGAAGAGAAAAATACATGTAAATACAATGGTGTACGCTAAACAGTGAAGGAAGAATGTATCTCCAATTAAAAGCACTGAAACTTCGATAAAACATACCCAGTCCTCGAAGTGCCGGCTGCCGTTTTGCAGCAGGTCCTCAAACTGGATAATGCAGTTAGCCACAAAATCATCGTATCCAATAGGTGCATCGTGAAAGACGGCCAACTCGATTTTCCTGCCGTCCCGGACCTCGGTGACGAACTCGTCATTCCAGGCTGGGCTGTTGGTCTTCTGCTTGGTGGACGTCTGTCCCACTCGCGAATCGTCCACGTTCAAGGCTATATAGGTATCCAGAAGGAATGTCTGGGTCCTCGGTCCGACAGCGTGCCTCAGTGACCATGGAGTAGGCTTAAGGTCCAGAGCCTCACAGATCTTAATCTTCAATAACCCATTAAAAACCACCATGATGATGATGGTTTCACTATTCGATTGGAATTGGTTAGTTATTTTAAAGGATGCGTAATTCTTGCCAATTCAATGGGTGATAAATAATTAAATATATTTTAGTATCAGTTGCCTTCGCTGGAGAAGAAACAAATGAATGCAGTTTTTTTTCCCTTTTGCTCGTGCGACACCCAGTGAATATGTATGAATCTTGCCTTGCATATAACGGAAAAACAGCAGTCCCGTTTCACTCTATCACACATACAAATCGGATGCAAAGCAGTGCTCCCAAAAACGGTCCTGTCGGGTCCTGTGTAAATTGTCTTGTTTTTTTCAACCGTTTTGGTTTCGCGTTGAAAACAAACATTTGGTAGCTGGGGGAAAAAAAAGGGATTTCCTTCCTTCAGAACAGCGTGCTTTTGCTGTGGATCCTCCTGTGTTAAACACACAAACACAACAGAAAAAGAAATACTACCATGGAGCAAAACACCCAGTCTCTTCTTTCACAGCCCTTCAGAAAAATAAACCAAAGCAGGAGCTCTTCAGCATCGCTTGGGGTCTAAAGTATTCGTTTTCCTCTTATCGAAGGGAGAGGAAAGGGATCCAGTTTGCTCACGGCACATTGGGACGTCTTTCTTGACCTCTGGCTGTGGAAACCCTTTAAAAATTCATAGTAGCAGCCCCTGGTTTGTGGTTTTTCGGGTCTGTGTGCTTCTGCAGCTCTCAGGCTGCTCTCTTGCTGTTGCTGCTGTCGGTTTCCTGCAACCCACAGTACCTCCTTTTTTTTCTATAACGCTAATGCAGGAAATGCGCAAAACACGTCAGTTTCTCAGAGCCGCGCCGAGCCTCTTCTGTACCAGATGGGGGAGTGCAGGCAAGCTGGAGCACAAGGGGACTGTCAAGCAGTGTGCGCTTCGCGACGGGGTCGGGATGGGATCCGGGATGTGAACGCGATTGAACAGGCTTTCATCCCCCACGAGCGGGGGAGTGGCGAGGCTGCGTTGCGTTGTGCAGCAGTGAGCGCTGAAAGCTTAACGCGTCTCACTCTGTCGGGATGGTGAGACGGCCGTGGGCTCTTGTAAACTCGAGAGGAATCGGGCACCTCTCTTGCTCCAAAATGCAATTGCGGATTTGTTGTTTGTTTTTTGTTTTTTTGCGGTTACGGCACCGACAGCTACACAGACACGCTGCAAAACAACCCTTAAAGATTGCTAGCATCATTGTTAAAAGTAATATGCTATTGCAATCCACTTTTTGCGCTAGTGAAGTTTCCGGGCAAGAATAAGCATAGCTTCCTGTTCTTTTTTACAGAAATAACTGCTTAGAAAAAAAATACAGATCCGACGCCAAGTAAAGACACACGAGAAATATATATATTTTAAATTTCTTTTTATGACCTTTTCTTTGTAAACCCCCTTTCGGACAAAACTGTGATGAAGAATACAGAATATACCGTACATTTTGAAAGAAATAAATCCAATCTGAATATTACGAGCAATTTAACTTGCGTATTATTACATTGAACGAATCAGGAGTCCTTTCAAGTGCTCGGTTTGTTGTGTTTATTTATGATATAATCCAGTTTGATTTTTTTTTAAATAGTGTGTTTTACTATTGCAAAACTATTGGCTTACAGGTGGTACCTTAATACTGGATCATTTTTCGGGAGCGATAATCTTGCTCCTTAGCTGACATAACTCTTTTTCTAATGAATTAATATAATGAATCAAATTAAAAGAGGCAATGTATACGTTTCACATCTTTTTGCGTAAGAAATCCAAAATGTATCACCGTTTCCAGTACAGTATTTTTTCTGGGGATCTAAATTGAGTTCTGGCGCCATCCTGTGTAGGTAGTCTGTCTTGTTAAAGAATAACTTGCGGTGTTTACAGACGGAGCAAGTGGAAATTTTCCCTGCGCGTAGTACCTGGGTGCATCAATAATATTTTATTTTCTTGTGCAAATGTTACCATGTATGTTCCTGCGTTTATTCTATAAAAGCAATATTTGTTTTAATAACAAACAGCAAACAGGTGTAATATGTGGTTATGTTCTACATATTTATTTAAGTTGTGTTTTTAAAACTTGTTTTACCCTGCGCGTAGTACCTGGGTGCATCAATAATATTTTATTTTCTTGTGCAAAAGTTGCCATGTATGTTCTTGCGTTTATTCTATAAAAGCAATATTTGTTTTAAGAACAAACAGCAAACAGGTGTAACGTGGTTATGTTCTACATAATTAAGTTGTGTTTTTAAAACTTGTTTTACCAAAATATTTGTACTTTTTAGTTAATCTGTTATGATGAATTATTTTATATTATTTAATTTCTGTGATGGCACCGTTATTTCTTACGGCCCACAGCTTCTTTTCCGTTATGAAAACATTTTAATCACCTTACCATCTCATCACTCATCATTTTCTGACGCCTCTACCTTCTGTGCTAATACCTGTACAGTATTTGTACAAAACATACATTAAATCCACGACCTAATATTACCATGTAATTCACATCTTTCACAAGTTTTTAATGTCCATTAAATTGTTGTATTTAGATATTAAATACTGGAGCATTTGTAATGCCACCAAAATCTAACGTATTCTGTTTCACTTTCATTATTGATTCACAGTATAATATGATTAAATAAGTAGGTTTTAACGGCAGGAGAAGTGAGTTTGAATCAAATCTTGTTTGATTAGACTAGTCTTACGTATAGTTGGAAATCACTGTAAGTCTGCTAAAACATCCGTTCAGAAACGTTAAAAAAATTAACTAAGCTTAGTACAGCGCCACTTTCATGTTAAAAAAAAAGATATGCATGGATGGGAGATGATGTGAAAACTAAATTGCCAATCTAATCGTTTCTAATTGAAATTCAAGTTGCTGCTGTCATAATCATGTATTACCAAAGTCAACGATCCTTTTCTTCGCAGCCGAAACGGATTGTTTTGCCCCAAGTGTCCTGATCCAAATGATTTTTAAACACTCTTTTACAGTTTTACAGTTTCATTTTATACACCGTTTCTTTGTCACTCTTTGTGATGTTTCTTTTTCATGACTTTTTCTGCGGCAAAGGAAACTGCTTCTGGCCCTTTAAACGGAGAAGGGTCTCCCTTGGAGCGAACCATTCGAAAATCTGAGTTTCGGTTGATCTCTTTGGGAAAATCGTTTTTCTTCCGTCACCGGTGTCCGGAATTGTTCGTTAAAATGTGTCAAAATGCTTAAATATATTTAAAAAATACAAAGACAAATGTTTCACGGCACAGAGACATCGTGGTAAGATAGGTGAAGTTTAAGCTGAATACAGTTGGAAGAAACCCTTTCCTCTGTTTGCGGAAGGGGATGGCTGGCTGGCTCGGGTTTGAATGGTTTTCCGCGTGTAGATCGCTCTGTGTACTCTACCTGAACGGCGCATTGCTGGATTACAGTAAAAGTGAGTAAAATAGTATGCCCCTGGTATGGTTTTAATTAAGTAAACAGCTTGTTTATTCCACAAATGCCGATTATTTTGCACTGGAAAAGAAATCTGTCATGTCTATTAACTTTCCCCCCTCCCGTGAACGCCTTGAATTCGGACGCTGGATGTTCTCCGCTGCATTATCAACCCGCTGTCAGAAAACGTTTGGACTCTGTTGTGTTGCACGTAATAAATCTTCTCAAGACTGGCGGGGTTAAGCGTAACGTTATTATTCCAGTACACAGCCCCATATGCCACGTAGCCGGCTGGATTTATGTTTGCGCCCTGACTTGAAGATGCTTATTTTGTTTATTTGAATGGGTAACCTCGCGTTCTTTCTTTAAACCCTCGGGGGCTATTACGCAGAGAGCTTTGAAGTGGTAAAAGCTGATCGGTCAATGAGTGCTTCATTGCAGCCTTCATGGTCTCAACGACTAGTAAAATGCACGTAGACGTGCTTTAAAACAAAGCCCGTAATGTAAACGACTAGAAGATAGCACAAACATAGCAGTCACTGCTGGGAGGATATTCGTCACAGCAGCATTGTACTGTAAAGCAGTAGTTATGACTCCGAACCTGGGTTCAGACCCAGTAAAGGGCACTGTAGTTGTATCTTTGAGAAAAGTATTTTGCCCAGATTGCTCCATTTAAAGGCCCTGTCTTAAAAAAACGTTTAGTCCCGTTTTACGGGTCATTGTAAAATAGGCTTTGGTTTCAGTTCATTTATATGGCTAAATGCAAGTTTCTTTGCTACGCATGTTTATGGTAACCAGATGTTTAATGTATTGCTTATGCATCGATATTTGTTACAGCTCTTTAAATCTCTGTGTTCAAAGAATTGCGTATATAACTGCTCCGGGAATAAGGGGGCTTTACTACTTAAGCCATTTGTTACAATGCAGTTCAGATTGAAAGATCATGGCCATTAGAGGTAGTGGGGAGCTATCGGTTTGGAGAGATCTCTGATCCTCACAGCTCTGACATGTTCCCTGTAACCGTCTGTCTTCTTCCCCTCTCACCAATATAAATGTCTGGGCACTTTCTAAATGAGATGCAGTATAAAAGGTTGCTGGAAATACATGATGTCCTTTGGCGTGACACAACACCGTCCGAAGTAGCCTTGGCTGTGTGTTGTATTGGACATACTGTGTATTTACAGGTGATGCAGTGGGTCCACTCGCTCTGGGCAGTTAAGAGAGCTGTGAACAAGAATGCTGAGCAGCGTAGGTGGTTGGCAATATGAGATGATGGAGCGATCAGGGAAGAGTGTGCAAGGGATATCTTTTAAAATGGGGAAGTTGTCACTAGTGGTCCTTGGAATTGAAAGGGTGTTAGAATGATAAGGAAACACCAACAGCATACAGTTGTGAGTCTGGGAATTCCTGTTGGCATAACCTTGTTCAGTGAAACCAAATTATGCCAAAACTCCACTTTGATGCTTTGGATGATAGTTGAAACCTTTACATTGTGGTTACGTTGTCATTTCTGTTAGCAACACAGTTTTCCAGTTTATGTGGTCTAGCCTACAGTCATGGCTCTGTGGGTGCCATGCTAGCAAGATAAGGCAATATCATTTGTGAAATGTTGCAAGGGGATCTGAACTAAAGTTGTCACTCGCTTGAGTCCTGCCTACCTTTTCATTTGAATCCCAGTCACTTCTTTGGTGCGCAGACTGATACGGAACAAATTCTTTTTGCATTTCATATGTACTAAACAGAATCATGAACACTCTAATCTGAATGATCCTCCTTAAATAAACTATGTACTGTATGAAAGTCTACTAAAAAAAAAATTGATTTTTGTGCTTCTGGTTTACAGATGATGAGAAGAACTCGAGTGCAAGTTTGCAAAAAGCAAGGAGAAGATGATTTGGATGTGGGGGCTGATAACCTGTGAGTAAATATCATTGTTTTACAATGTGATTTTTCTAGCATTGAACTAGTTTAAATTGATCTTAAGTCTCTTCATAGTTTCAGGCTGGCGGCGACATGCACGTGGTACGTGTGGATTAGTGAGTTTGAATTCAGTGTTGCAAAGCTTCTACCATAAATTTCTGACTCACACAGTAAGTGCGTATACCTCCTAAAAAAGCATCTGAACAATTGAGATAATATCATCCTCTCTAATACCTAGAAATACACTCTGCTTCCAGAACTGTTTGAGCTCCAGGCTAAGCTCCTTAAGTTTAATTTTTGTCATCATATCAGTGGTTAAAATGTTTTTATATAATAATAAAAAATAGTATAACAAGAATAAATAATAACTACAATAATAGTATTGCAAAAGAGCAATTTTTTATTAACTGTAAACTTTATTTTGATTTTATCAACATTATAAATACATTTATGCAAATGTTTCTTATTTACTGTTGTCTTTTTTAGTGCAGGCATTATACTAGGAAAAAAAACTGTAATATATTTTCATTTTTGTCATTATTTGGAAAAGAGCAGAAATGATTCTTCCACTCAACGGTGCGACTTTTCCCTGATACAGTAGTTCTTCTATCGCGCATTCTGCTGTCATCTGAAAACCATTTCATAACCTGACGCAGCAATGTAGTTCTCATTTCAGCTCTCCACATGGCATTCTTGCATTCCTCTTGCAAGATGAATTAAAACAGTACCTCATCACCCAGGGTATTTATTCTCCTCTTTTTTATTTTTAGCTCAAATTGTTAGCTCGGCCATCCTGCACTATAATTTTTGGTCTATAACAATCCACGAGGTCATGACTTTATTTTTCTTGTCCATCCAGTAAGCCTGGCAGGGGTCATGCCATCCTCGACCTTCTTGCAGATGCCAGGGCTTGCTCACACCAGCACACGGGCACAGTTTTGGTGATACCAGTTAACCTAGCCAACATGTCTCTGGAATGCGGGAGAAAAAACTTTGCCAACATAGGAGAACATGGGGACTCCACACAGACAGTGTCCCAGCCAAGAACTGAACCCAGGACTCAACATCCAAAATTGTATTTATCCATTATAAAGACTATGCAAAACGTCTGAATAGCTATGCAGATGTACATTTTAATACATATCAAATATATTTAAAATACATTAACAGAAAAAGGCGACCAAATTATGTGAGATAGAAGTTCAGATCAATCAGCTGTGATCAGAATGAAACACCAGCAGCAGCCTTGTGCGGTGTAAGAACATTGCAATATATTATCCCCACTCGGCTAGTTTAAAACGGGTCTTTATCAGCTTAAAATCCAGTGATAGTCTGCTGTCTCTTTTATATTCTTACTGTAGCTCTTCGGAACCTGAAGAAGAGAGTGAAGAAGAAGAAGATGAATGGCAACCGCAGAGCAAGGCGAAAGAAAAGAAAGCGAAGCCTGCCGTGAAAAAGGCTTCCAAACCACGGGTGCCTAAACAGAAAGCCCCCAGGAAGACAGCCGAGAAAAAGCAAAGAGCTCCAAGGACAAAAAAGCAGAATTTAGCCTTGGCTGAGGAGGTGAAAGTGAAAGAAGAGGTGGGAGAAAAAATCTGGAGTGAAATGAAAATGTATCAAGACATAATAAAAACTCTTACTAGAATGCAGATAAAAGACATTAAACAAAAGATGGGCTGAGCTACAGATGATGGGTTAATTTTGCTTTGTGGGTGTTCAGTGGCTCGCCATCTAGTCCACCCTTTGAAGTGAATGAAATAGCTACATTATGGAGTTTGAAAATGGTTCCTTCAGGAAACTGTAAGGAATCAGCAACAATTAGTGGTACTCCATAGCAAGTAGAATTAAAAGTTGTCATTTTTAAAAGTTTGTCAGGATGCACCTTTCTAAAGTGTCACAGAATTAGCCTCTGCTGCTGGTGTGAGTCTCGGTTGTTCGAAGTGTCTGATTTTAGCAAGAGGTATAATTGAGCTGCCTTCAAAGCTCTGGTAGTTTTGGGGGAGGGAAGGTGGCTGATGATGTCAGGGCATAGTGAACCAGCAATGATCATAATTCAGAAACATGTGCTCCTGAATAATTTAATAGAATGTGTAGTATTCTTTTTAAATGGTGGCTAAAAGTAAAAAACATTAAATTGTCCACTAGACACCTGTTGGTTGCTGAGTAGTGTGGCACCCTTTCTATATGTAGAGTTAGTCCTCTTATTTGCAGCTGCAACTCACAACTGGCAGCCCAGTGAAGCTCAGCAGGTGTGAGCCTGGTCAGTACCTGGATGGGAGACCTCCTGGGAAAAACTAAGGCTGGTGCTGGAAGAGGTGTTAGTGGGGCCAGCAGGGGGCGCTCACCCCACAGTCTGTGTGGGTCCTAATGTCCCAGTACAGTGATGGGGTCACTATACTATAAAAAGGCATTGTCCTTTGGACTTGTTCAGGGTGTTTCTCAAAAAGAGTAGGGGTGTTACCCTGTCGTCCTGCCCAAATTTCCCATTGGCCTTTACCAATAATGGCCTCCTAATAATCTCCATCTATGAATTAGCTTCATTACTCAGTTCAGTCTTGCCCACTGAGAGCTGATGTGTGGGAAGTGTTCTGGTGCACTATGGCTGCCTTTGCATCATCCAGGTGGGGCTGCACATTGGTGGTGGTGGAGGGGAGTGTCCAGAAAAACGCTATATTCTTTAGAATTCTTATAGAATCCTGTAGCCTGATCACGGTTATCTAAACATCTGCTTACCCTGCAAAGCAGAGTTCTGCCCCTTTTGTCTGCAGCTGAGTTATGAATTCTCCTCCATTATTACAGAGGCTGTCATTCCCTGCGGCGGATGGGCTCTGCAATGACACCAAGCAGCTGGGGAGCACTGGGGACAGAGAGGATAAGACTACAGCAGGACAGGGGACGGAGCAGAAGGGAGAGCCAGTGCCCCCTTTGGGATATCCCTCAGAGGAGCCTTCCTCGAGTCACCACCTGCCCAGGATGAAGAAGGAGGAGCCGCCAGAGGAGGATTACACTTTCAACGAGCCCGCCATGAAGAAGATCAAAACCGGCGACTGTCCTCAGGGAAAACCTGTAAAGCATCACGTTCAGAGAAAAGGCCAAGTGGAGGATCTGCAGATGAATTGGGATATAGTGAAGGTATGTTTATGATCTGATAAAGTTGTTTGCACTGTCCTGTCAAAGAATACACAGATTGCTAACACTCTGGTTATGGTTTTTCCATTGTCTAGATATCTATTATCTATTCTCCGTTATGGGAAATAATGGTTTGAAATGAAAGAAGGTTATTTAATCCATCTACACCTGTTTGGAATGATTTGACTCAAGAGTCATCCAGGTGATTCTTGAAAGCAGACATGGTATCTGCTTCTACAACTTGATTGGGTAACATGTTCTATTCACAACCCCTTGCATAAAGAAGTCCTTCCTGATCTCAGTTTTAAATGCACATCCACTTTATGTTTACTGTATGTTTTAAGCAAAGGGGTACTTATTTTTTTAATCACATAGATTCAGTACCTTTTGTCTGTGTCCTGAAATATCCCATCTCTTAAAATGGAAGGCTTATTGCTAGAGTAATAGTTTTTCCATAAAACCTACGATTGAGGCAGTAAGGCTATGATTATGGCATTGTGAACTTGCAGCTGGCCCTTGAAAGAGACTGTTTGTTGAGATGCTGTGTTGTGCTTGCGGTGTACAGGTTCTCTCGGAGATGACTGTGGTGGAAGAATGGGTGTGTGCCAATATTGTGTCTCTCTTCAATGAAGAGAACACCATCCCCTTCATTGTCCGCTACAGGAAGGAGATGATCAACCACATGGATGCAGACGCAGTCAGAGATGTTCAGCTGGTTTTGGAGGAGCTGCGGTAAGCTATGACAGTCATGAGTTTCTTGAGGGTCTGGGCTGGGAATTATTTTTTAATGCCCAATGGGCATTGGGTAATTAAGGGAAACGGGCAGAACTGCAGGTGTTCTTTTGACAAAAATGTCCTAAAAAAAAAAAAATCTGACTAAAATCTTTCATTTTGCTTTTTTCTTTTAAGACACGTTGCAAAGAAAGCTCACTCTATCACACAGACTCTGAAGAAGGAGGGAGTTCTAAGCAGCAGTCTGGAAGAAGTTGTGAGAAACTGTAAAACCACAGATGAGCTAGATCATGTGGTGAGTGAAGTGGCTCTGTTAAATGATCAACAGTCTTCATAAACCCTGACCACTCTGGAATCATAATGATCAATGCAGATTGCTGCACTAGAGGAAGAATATCCTTTTGCCAGATGAAAATAATATCCACACCTGTCCAAAAGTAAGATTTAGAATTTGGCATACTGTGAATCAAGGGGGTTGTTTTTGAGTCACTGTTCACTGTGTCTGTCTAGACAGGCATTTCCAGGTTAGCCTGATGAACAAAAAACGTCTGCCTTCCACAGTAGTCAGATTTGGCATGAAGCTAAATTTCCTAAAACAAAGATAATCAAGGGGGTTATGAGCAATGATCAGTTTTAGTATGGCAGTAGGCCTATGTGCTGTCCACATACAGCTTTCTCTTGCAAAAGTCGCCGGTTCATTTTGCCATCTTATAGAATTGAAATGTATCATATATGGGCTGTCGATAAGTGAATAAATCACTTTAGAAATTAAAATGTAAGCTTTTAATAGGTGTACATCATGCGTAGAATTGGGCAGTTTTTGAAAAGAAATATTTCTAAAAATTAGAATGCTATGGCACATAATGATTTAGCCATATCTGACTGTGTGGGTTCACCTATCGCATATCCAGTATGAAGAGGCTCTATAGTTTGCAAGCTGTGGTATGCATTGTGGACACCATGTAGACACATGCTGCTGTTTCACCGGTCAGCTGTTTCCAGGCTGTCTTCTGGTGAAAGTCTGTACACCTCTTTCCGCAGCTTGCATGGAGACTATCCCTTGTTATGTTTGTCGTTTAATTAGTATGCGCCTTACAAGAAAGGCAGTAAGCTGTCGAAGGCTCGGCGAGCGAGGGAGCTGGGCCTTGAGCCTGCAGTCATGACCCTCCTGCAAAACCCCCAAGCTCTGGATCTGCACAGCTGGGTCAAACCGCAGACTGAAGGTACTGCTCTGCATGCTTCTTCCTCATGGCAGCCTCAGTCTGAGCCCGTGCTTCAGACAGTGACCACAGTTTCCAAGCTGTCTTTTCCTTATGAGAAAATAACACGAAAGTGTCACATAAATATTTCACAATTCTAGTTTTGGAGACCAAAGCAATTTAAGTTGATCCTGTTGTTAAAACAGTTCCTACCTTAAGAGGAGCTTCATTATTTGATGAACAGTTGCACACAAAACCACTTCTTATCTCAGACTGTTTCAGGTCATTTCACAATAATGTTTACATCATATACCATAAAAATAAATTATAAATGATTGCTAAATCTATAAAAGATAAATCTATAGATAAATTGCTTAATTTGAAATTGAATTATTTCCAAACATTTATTATCTAAACTGTAGAGGGCAGTAGTGCACCTTAAATAACATTATGTACTTTTCATAATCTCTATGACAGGAACACGTTGTTTTTCTAGCAACAAAAAGCACACATCGTATTGAGAACTTTTTTGTATTAGGAAATAAAACAGGCATTAGTTATGGGAGGAAACAAGATTGTGTGAAGTTTATCCTGTTTTATAAATCCTGAATTAATCATGCTATTACATGAATATTCTTTAATACTCATGTTTGTTTCCATTACTCATATGAGGTAAGTGGTCTGTGCTTCAGAGTTTTTGGCTCAGTAATGTTGTAGTGGGATATTTATTATTGAACATTGTTATGGGTTATTTATTGTCATGCTTTATTTGAACCACAAATAAAGTGAGAACGTGGGAAGCAGCTATGGAGCTAAACTGCTAAACTGTTGCTAATAGCTGGCAGTTAAGAAGCAGTTTACAACCAAACTGGAGAGAAACATCAGTGCTGTGCAAAGCATATTAGGGTTAACTCTTCTTCTTCCTTTCTGGTGGAGCACCCGGCATGTCCCAAGCATTCCTCTTTTGTTCTCCAGGTCTTTCCACATTAGCTGAAGTGGAGACAGGAGTGCAGCAGATCCTGGCAGATATGATAGCGAAGGACAAGCAGACGCTGGAGTTCGTGCGGGGAGTGTACGTGTCCTGTTCCTCTGGGCCTCTCCGGCATGGGGCTGGGCCACAGCGAGCTCGAGGAGGCCGCCATGTTCTGACGTTCAGGGACAATTAGCATGGTCTTTCAGGGGCCTGCAGTCCCGTAGGGTTTGTAGTGATGATAAGTGTGGAAAAATGGTTCTTCTGACCATTAAAGCAAAGACATCAATTGAGTAATCGAAAGGCAGGTTGGGATGAAATCAGTAGGAGGTGGCAGCATGCTGTGGAACTTGGCTGATCACCTCCACACAGTGATGAAAAACAGTGAGAAGGTGTTGGACCCCTTAACCTGTTCACTAATTGCTCGGTGTAAAAAATGGATGTCATTAAAATTAACTGTAGCCCGTGTCTGTGTAGTAGGATATAACCTTTACACTATATTGGCACCAAAAAAATAATAAAGCCTGAACCCAGTGGACTGAAACCCCACTCTCTTCGTATCAATCTGTACGTACAGTAAGAAATTAATATTTCTTTCCATTGCCTTTGTTGTAGGTGTTGCATTACCAGCACTTTCCATTGCATATCCTTTTTTATGCAGCTAATGGTACAGTAACAGAATCCTGAAGACTACCACAGTTCAATGTTAATTGCTTTTGCTTGGGTTAATTTGTGAAATTGTCAAAAGCTTCTTGGCTTTCCCTTGCAGATGTGATCAGAGCGCCATAACCATTCATTCGACTGTTTCGAAAGCGGCGCTGAAGGAGAAAGAGCAGAAGGACGCGACAGCGGGCAAGCCGAAAGACATCGACAAGTTCCAGCTGTACTGTGACTTCACAGCCAACGTCAAACGGGTTCAGCACCACCAGGTGAGCATGCCCCATGCTATTGATGGGAAAGGGCATTATATGAATATATGCTGTGTGCAGTAATAGTGTAGTGAGAAAAAAAGGGTTGGGATGCAGAATTCAGGGTGAATGTGTTCCTTACCCAAATATTTATATTCATACTATACTTATATTATAATCTCGGTTGAATCTTTTTATGTATGCATAAATGTAAATATTATCTATTTGTGCACATACTGTAGCTACTGTAAGGATCGGAATAAATGCTAAACCATGGGTTTTAGAATTCCAGAGCTGCAAAATGCTGAATATTACAGCCTCTTAACACTTGTCCAGAATTGGTGTGGCAGATGAGGTTGAGAGTAAATGCTATAATCCGCTGTGTTTCTGTGAACTTTACAGAGGCTCCCCCATGTCAGGCTTAGTTAAATCTGCACCATCCACAGGGCCAAGAACTGTGCCATTGCTGGTACCTGTGCGTCTGTTTATAACAGCTTTATTACTCACAGTGGTGCTCATCCGCATGTCACAGTGGGTATGTCAGCACCAGGATAGTGCTGGAGACCATTAATCACAAGCATGTCCTGCAGTCATTGTAAGCCATTGTGTTTAACATATGTGACATGTCCGAATTAGCTAGTGATTGAATTAAGGGCTGTGATTGACATAGACTGCTCTGCAGTGACAGTGCTCATGGCCTGGAACATGCTGGAGCTTCAGACAACAAGCTGTGACACGGCTCCACAGATTCCTCACCGACGTAAGCATTTTATGTAAAATGGCTAATTCCATTATGCAGATCATCTCTTAGTTTTCATTTGCAGTGATAACAAGTGACTTAAACAAATAAACATTGATTTCAGATATGTTTGTCAATGACAAATTGGTGTTTGTATGCATGCATATGTACAAGTACAAATTAACGTGATGTGTCTATATATAATTGCCTATCACACATTATTCATCATAACCTTTAAAAAATATCTACCTACAAAGTTTTGATCAGTCTCTTTCACCTACAGTATGTGAACACACTTTAATATTTGTTTTTCTGCCCTTCAGTCTGGTCAGTTCCACCAGCATATTTGTACTGTAAGTGGCAGGAAGATTTAATTGTAAATGGTGATGGAGGGAGTGGGCAGCTCAAGGGGAAACCTGAACCTAATTAAAACTTTAATATTACTTATTTACATTTGAATACAAAAAAATCATACAGACACTGCAAAAACCATAATGTGAAGAGCCAACGTTTGTAATCATCTTGCCGTAGCGGGTTACTGTATACAGTATCTTCAAGAAGTGTTCTTGTGGTTGAAGTAACATCCTGCATTAACAGAGGGACCACTATTCAATCAGCACACTGAGCGATGGGTATGATGCCCTACTTGCACACATGACAAACTGAGACTGACACCTGTGCATGTTATTCAGACTCAGGAAGTGCATTCTGTGATTGCGAGGCAGCACATGTTCCCCATTGTGTCTTGCCTGTGAAGAGCAATGAGTTCTGACAGACTGGGTTTGGAGGATCCAGCTGCTTTGATTGTTTGTTTACCTCTTTAAATTGTCTCCCGGTGAAATGTTTTCCTGATTCCTGGTTCTGATTTCTTACAGATGGCAGATGTTACATTATTTTATTTTATTATTATTAATTATTCTTTAACCTAGAAAAAATGTTTGTAGGAAATGTAACTTATATTGTTTATTTTTCAAATACATTAAAAGCTGCTAGTTACTATGCAAAGGGGGATAAAAGGCTTTTGCATCTCTGTGTACTGAGTGCTCATTCAGCTGGACTGTTCAACTCTGGAAGCAAAACCTTTCACTCGGCACTGTCAGCTTGCTTGTTTTGGAGTGCAAAGAGTTGGATTTATTATTATTGCACTGCTTAGTTATGATGTGTTGTCAAAAGGGATTTTCATTTGATTTTTTTCTGGAAGATTTTGGCAATGTCAAGTTAATGATGGCTTGGAAATCGAGTTCAGGATTATTTATTTGTTTTTTTAGTTAATTTGCTAATGGAGAAGTGGATAAAGAAGTTGTTCTTCTTTCTTTCTGGAGTAAAGCAATGTGTTGACCTTTACGTTGGAAAAAGTTACTCTCTTGTGAGCATTTCTCACAGGATCTCGGTGACTGAGTCTTGGCAGCGCTTAATAGTGTTTCGAAACACTGGTAACTTTATTAAAAAAAAACAAAATGGTTCACTTTTAATGTAACTGACATTTCATCAGCTTTTTTTTTTGCTTTTCTGTGTGTATAAAGTATACTGTATATATTAAGTTAAATACCCACCATCAGAATTATCATCAAATGCATTTTACGCCTAAACGCAAAGGAACAAAAGATTCCTTAAAAATCTAATCTGCTGCTAATGATTTTTTGGCATTGATGTCTATGTATGATCAGTGAAAGCAGTGCATTCAAGCACATGACATTACAGACATACATTCTTTTAATATCTTAAAAAAGGAAAAGCAGTAATTTTGTATTCAATGTGTTGATGCTTTCCACAAAGATCAAAAGATAGTTGCTTCTTTAAAATAGTAAATATGTGTTTGTGTTTGTCTTACAGTATTTACAGTTTTGTTCTCTTCTGCTTACTTTAGTGCATATGCAAATTTAAATTCATGTTATTTTTATTTGAAACAGAAAACAAAACTTACATACCTATCTCCACAGACCTTTTTTAAGCTTGTATCATTAATAGCTGCTTATCAGAGTCATTTACAGTACAGCCTCTGAATTAATTTATTTTCATTGTCAATAATATTAGTATGTATACAATTTCAAATATTTGACAAAATGTAAAGGGGCTATGCACAATTTAAAATGAAAAATTTGCTGAAATCCTTGAATTCTAGTGTAGCGGCGAAATCCAGTGCAATTGCCAAACAGATTTTGCGTATTTTGCAAATTAACCATGAAACAGTCACTGTAAAATTTAAGTTGCATAGCTTGCCAGTCAGAATAAATGAAAATTGTTTTGGCTTGCTCTCCGAATATTGAGAAGTGAAGTACTAACTATTGTTGTTGATTCTTGTCAGTGTTGTCACATTATGGTCTTTAGCTAGCTGCAAAAGGAAACAGAGGGGCTGAGAATTAAAATTGTAGCACCTGCGCTGGTTATACAGTGCAGAACATTTGTTTTTTGGCAAAGAGACACTTTTCCTTTTGCGCTCCAAATTCATCAATATGAAAAGCAGGCGGAAGATAAGTTCGGGACAGTAGTTTTAGAGTTTTGTTTCTTTAGGTTGGTTTAGGTGTCTGCTGAGCTTTGAATGAATGCTTTTCTCAGTCTTTATGACCCATGGTTCTGTCTTTGAGGTTAGTCTTGTAATCTCGGACCAGCTGTACTGGTGGAGTGTTGTTCGTATCACGCACTGGAAAGAAAGCTGTCTTTTGTCTCCCAGTATTATGGGAAACAGGACAGCAAAATAATCCTGCTAGGCTGCCAAAGCACACTAGCCTTTTCTTACTCCAACTTTCCTTAAAAACTCAGCAATGATGCCTTTTTAATGAAACCACAGGTGAAGTAATCCGGCCACTCATTTGATTTGATTACATTGATAAAATATTAATGCTCGTTGTGAAATGTCCAGTGCTAAAAGTATGGTTAATAAGCCTATAGAAAGGATAAAAAATGGAAGTTTAAAGTTAAATCTTTTTCTCCACCTATGACAATCTAAGTTCTAAATGTAGAGATACAGAAAATTGTCAGCATTAATCTTAGCAAACTAAATTTAATTTAAACTAATGAATTAAACATTATTTGTTGGGTTGTGTGGGGGAGCTTGCCATTTTAGATTTAGCACATGGATTGATGTTTTTCTTCTGAAGGTTTCTTCAGAAAAGGTCAGAAACTTAAAACTATTTGCTGAACAGAACGTCACTTTCCTTAAATACTGCGTAATTTCGTACAGGACATCAAGCACGCGGTTACATGAGAGTAGACTTGAGAAGTTCATCTTTTGGGGATTTTGTGTGTCATCTGTCTGTGCCGTTTATGTTTGCACTCAGATTCTGGCCATTAACCGAGGGGAGAATCTGAAGATCCTGACAGTGAAGGTCAACATTCCTGACAGGGTGAAGAGTGAATTCTGCAGGTGGTGTGTCAACGTCAGGTCTGTATAGCATCCCCTTTCCTGTCATTGTGTTGAGGCAGGCTGTGAGTGAAGGCAGTCTCTGCTCACAGCACTCAGCTGATTATCAGACTGTTTGCCTGTGTACAGCCCTTGCATTCTCACCCTATAGTTAATGAATGCCAATTCAATAATCAAATCCTTTTTTAAAAAACTGGCTTATTTTCTTATCAATAATTAAAACTTGTATTGATAATAGAACTGCAGAACAAATCTGTGGACTGAGATAAGATATGGTTGCTTCTACTACACTCTGCTTCTTCTGTTTGTAAACAATAACATTTTCACTGGGAAAACTATAGTAACTTCATTTATTTCATCTTCTTAAGTCCAAGGGTCATACAATGACAGTTTTTCCCTCCTGTGTACCGATACATTTTCACTCCTTTCTAAAGCTTGGCTCTTGTGCAGGGTTGTCAGCCTGACATTTTATAAAATAAACTTATATTTACAGTCTGCTGTAACCTGGAAACCACACCTAGATCAACATACATCCTTTGCAGAAAACAAATTCTGAACATTACCAACATGCATTCTTATTGACTTTGTAGTTTTTTCATTTTTAGGCATAAAATGTATGCATACACCCACATTTGTTATTTTTATACATTTTTTGGTGGATAAACAAATATAAAAACATTATGGAACAAGAAGTGTTAAACTGTAAAGAAAAACAGTATCTGTTGAAAACATCAGTCCTCTAATTTTCTGTGCATAAGTGCATTATGTGTGCATACATAGTTATTTGTACTGATTTTGCTGTAAATACTGATTTTGCTATAGTTCACTTTTTACTTATTTTTAGGTAATTTTTTCAGAGGTGTTCAAATTTGCCATTTGAGCCTGTCTGGAAGATATATGGAACGGTATTGTCAAATGGTATCTGCTTTGAACACTAAGTTAAAGCATTAAAGTAATGTTTTTATTTTTATAATTGTAAAACATTAAAAAGTTTCATCTGTTAACATATATAGTAGCTTTTAAACTGCCATCAGATTATGCAGTGGTTATGAATGAAAATAGTGTACCTTATGTACTTCATGGAAAACAGTAGTCATTTATTGCCATGGAAGGTCCAGGGAAAGACTACAGAATTTTGGTGATGCTGAAGAGTTTATGTGAATTTATGTAAATTATTAATGGCCAATGATTTCAAAAACACCATTCAATTTAGTTAAATAACCTTTCGAGATTTGTTTCAACGTTCATCCTAGCAGTTTACTAATAATGTAGTGTTCTGATATCTGAATGCTAGAAAAAAACAGATATTACATGATAAGTGAAGCATGCTAATTAATATTTAGTTTGAATGAATCTACTTTTCTTGTTATTGTTGCCATGTGGTTAATTCCGGACACCCGACAGAGCTTGTGAAATTTAAGTGGGACTATAGAAATCACAATATGTAAAATACGTTTTCTTAACACACGGGTACAGCATATTTGTGTATAAATACTAAACATAATTAAAAATACAACAAATGCTGTTGGTTCTAATATTCATTTATCTCATTTTTCATGGTTCTCAGTATATAATAAAATCTAAGTATTTTAGCTTATAGCAATTGTTTTAATGTATAAAATGATCTGCTGTATAAAGAATCAGTTAATGTATTTAGAAAGATTTTATGATCACAATATAATAAACCGCTAAATCTAAAAAATATTTTAGATTCGCCTTTTCAGTGTGTCTTCTCAACTGTTAAAATTATTCTCCATAAGTCAGCAGACTTGCGCTGAAGACAGGAATTCTGTTTAGTGTTATCTGTCAAATCAAGTTATAAAAACATGCGTATATACATTTATTTTAATTCCTAAAGTAATATTTCACTTATTAATATGACAGTATGTCATATTTTGGAAATCGCCTAAGTTTCTACTGCTCAAAATGTAATTTCTTTCTTGAGCTGTTTAAATAAACATGAAAAAGGGAATGTCGCAATAGACTTAATAGATAAAATCAAGTGACCTGACTGTGAAATTTGGATATCTGTTAACAACATTATATTTAAAAGGCCATTTGATTTTTTTTCTGCCTTATGTTTATGTTAAATGCAGTATTCTTATAATGCCTGAAAGTATTCAATTACTTAAAACAAAAAGCTGCATAAAATTGTTTTAATCAGGGATTTTTGCTTTGCTTTAGTAGATTACAGATCCTACATATTGCAGAAAAAATAAAACCAGCCTCACATCACAGAGTTCCCCAAACCTCGTTTAATGGGTCTTCCAAAATATAACCAGAAAAGAGCTTTGCCGAGGCAAAAACGAAATGACACACTCGGCAGACTAAACCAGTTATCTGGGCTGACGAAATTACATAATGCATTTCGCGATCCCCAAAGCTACTAAAAAATAAATTTAACTTTGCTTGCACGTTTTATCTCCTTGAAATAATTTTACCAGGAATAAAACATGCAACTGCAGTTTTAGATAGTAATAATATAATCAAATTCATTTTGTCTATTTACAGCTCATGGTAGTAAATTCATAGAAAAAAAAACTCTCAAAATGTAGTTGCAGTTTATATTGATTAATGATAACAGCAATGAAGCTCTTTAAGCTGAGCTGTCCAGTGTCTCACAGGTGAATGGACCATAGCTTACAGGAAAGGGCACACAAAATTTGTTTCGAAGGGCATCAAAGTTCAGAATCAGAGTAATGTGTTGCTAAAATACAATTACCAAAAGCATCTTCCCTGTTGTAGTACTCCCTATTTTTTATGTTAATATAAACTTTTGTTCCAGTAATTGATTAAACATGCAGATGTCTAAATTGCTCTTATAGAATGTACTGTATACCAAATGTAAGTCACTTGACACCTTAGAGGTCACCTGTGGAGGAGTCTTTGCCAGGGATATGTCTCTTTGTGGCTGTTTATTTTTTTGTTTTTAAAGAGTCAATTTGTGTGGTTTATTTTCTATCAAGGACCTTGTCATCAAAATGTTTTTATTAACACTACAAATCACGACATTGTCCGTGACAAAAAAATGAAAAAGTTATTTTCAAAAAGTGAGTATATTCAGATTAATAGTAAAATATGCCTGAAATATTTTGAATTAAATATTGGGAAAATAGCTGTAATTCAAGTGGCTTATTCTTTTATTCTGTTTTAGCAGTATTCAGTTATTCAGTGGAGGCTGAATATTTAAAGTTCATTTATTTGATTCTAAGCATTTTTTTACAATTTGAAGCAATTATTTTTCAGTGCTACTCTCTTCCAACATCAATGTAATTTACATTTTTTTTACGATTTGTTTCTCTTATGGGCTGAAGGTGGAGACCCAGTGGTTATGCGAGAGAGGAACACATGAAAATATTAAGAGATGCTGTAGAAGATTCCTACAAAAGACTCATTCTGCCTCTGTTGTGTAGAGGCTATAGGTCAGTTCTTGTTTGTTTCTTTTTTTCTCAAGGTTAAATGACTCAAAGTCAATTTCTTTTGCATTTTTTCATAGAAGAATGGGCTTTTATTATTCTTATTTTAAAAGTCTGATTCACTGAGCTGCTCTGCTGTCAAAAATGTTTTATTCTTTATTATAAACATTTATGGCAAAAACATGTAGATGAACTTCACTCTTTGTATGATTTCTGAAAACATTCCATTAAAAATATTAATTTAATTACATTACTTTTAACACTTCAAGTAATGTACAGATGATAAATCATTCAGTAATCCTTAAGTGACAACATATCTTCACTTATCATTGAAGCATTTTGAACGTAACTTTCTTTGCTGACCAGCTTAGTAGAATTTGATTCCTGGGTCTAGCAGAGTGTTGTGTTTGGCATCTGTACCACTTCTCTCTACAAAGCATGTGCAGTCAGTTGGTTCGGGTAGGTACGTCTCTCAGGAGCAGGTATTGACACTTGTCCAGTGCCAGCAGCAAGAATAAGCACCTGTGAAATTCAGTGTGGAATATTTATATAAAACAGAATACAGAGACAAGCGCAGTAAGTGCATACTGGGTGTTAATTAAAACTGCTCCTTGGCTTCACCTGTGCAAAACCACATTGGTATTAGACACAGTATCAAACTGCCCCTCAACTATGATTTGACAAGTCACAGCAGCAGTGAAAACTGATCAGAATTTGTCTCTTTTGTTCTGTATTTTTCCCTATCTGGCTGTGTCCTTTACCAAATGCTTCGTGGAGGTTTTTGTAATGACAAAAATAGCCAACAAAAGAGGATTCACCTGCCAATGAATTTTGTTTCACGCTCTCTCTCCCTCTCAACCCCCTTCTATGTTTCCTTTCTCACTCAATTTTCCCTCCCTCCAAGGTCCAGTCTGACTGTGAGCGCAGAGAAGGAATCCATCGCGATGTTTGTGAGGAACCTCCGTCAGAGGCTCTTGGTGTGCCCTGTGCGGGGAAGGGTCATCTTGGGCGTGGATCCTGGCTTCAGACATGGCTGCAAGTTGGCTGTCCTGTCACCAACAAGTACGCATGCTCTAGTTACCTGACACTCGTACATCGGGAGATCTCTGGTGGGCTGAAGGCCAGAGGAGTTCACCTCTTCTAGTGTGTAGCTGCCGGCTTGGTGTAATGAAAATCTTCTGACCTGCATGGTCTGTGGGGATGTGCTTGATCTCAGCGGCTCTCCAGCTGGACTAGAGAAGTGACTACGCACTAGTTTGAGGTGGGAACAGTAGAGGCACCTTTTCTACATCCTTAAAAGCTCAGTCATTGAAGCAGTGTAGTCATTCTTGTCAATGTCATTTGTCGCATTATTTTAGACTGATTATCAGAATAGGTTTAGGAAATTGTAGGTTTTCAAATCATAAATGATTCTTTATGTAAAGTCATTTATAGTGCTCCTGTTTTATAAGTGGAAGAATTAGTTTGGACTTATCTAAGGAAAAGTGTGTCCCAAAGTACGTTCTCAAGATCAGTGATGAAGTTGGCGGATGTGAAAAAGTAATACACCCCAGTGTGATCCTCTCGTGTCGAGCTTCAGAGCCTGTCCCCTGTGCTGAACGGCACAGAGGCGCCAGACTGCAGTAGGGTTCTCTTCACTGCTCAGACGGCTGTCAGCCAGTGTGCTGTTCCCTTGGAGCAATGTCAGACGCAACTGGGTTGTTTTGCAGTCAGGATGCGAGAAGCTGCCACCAGGTTTACAGACCATGAGCCACGTGCCTCCTGATATGTTCGTGGTCTGCGTTTGTTGTCAGTTTTTGTCCTTTCACACAAGCCACATGGGCAGCATCACTGGCACTACTGAGAAAATATTATAAAAATGTCAATTTTTCCCCACTGATTTTGAATTTATTTTGCCTTTTTTAGGCCAGATACTTCAGACAGATGTAGTGTATTTACACAGTGGAGGAGGATTTCGTGAAGCCGAGAAATTAAAACAACTGATGATAAAGCACAAGTAAAGAATTTTTGTGTCTCTTTTTCAAATGTATTAAAATAGTTCTAACAATAAGCTAAATAATAAATCCTTAAAGTAAGGTTCTTGTAAGTTAGATGGACTTTTAAAGCAACTGCATTTGTGATTTGGTTACATTTACACATTTGCCACTTCCTTCCATGCATACAAACCTTCACAATGGTCAGTCACATACTATAGTATTGGTACATCTGCATTTGTCTTAAATTCCATAGTCAATACTCTTTGAATTGGCAGACTTCAAGGTCTATAACGTAACGTATCACACCATTTTATCATTTTAATTGGTATTTTCTGTCTTTTCCCAACTTCAGCTGTTACACTGTTGTTATTGGGAATGGCACTGCCTGCAGAGAAACGGAAGCATTCTTCGCTGATCTCATCTCAAAGAGGTTCTTTGAGCCCTTGGATGTCCATTACTGGTGAGACCTGTTGTTCTGTTCCTAGGAGCTTCTAGGAACATTATTCCTCTTCACCGCAATGAAAAACTCTTATCACGCGCTGCCAGCAATGGGAGGAAATGAGTTGCACCTGAGGCTGCTTTGTTGATACATTGTACTGGATTATCCAACATTGTTATTATTCCAGATCTAGGATCTTTAGCATTCCTTAGAAATGCCTGTGGTTACCAGCTGGACAGGACATCTTTGTTAATAGGGCCACCAGCGTAGACTCTACTGTATGTCCACCCCTTCAGTTCTTCCAGTAGGAGGCAGAGCAGTCAGGGAGCAGGAAGATGCAGTGTGGACTCAGTGATATGCCTTTCTGCATGTTGAAGAGCTGGACACAATGGGTTCAATAAAACTGAAGTCTGCTCCAGGCTCTTCTTGACAAAACAAATCACCAAACATTTCTCCTTCACCAAGAAATAAACATCTGGTTAGGTGGTTGATTGCGATGAGTTCATTTGGTGGTGTGCAACTGTTGCTGGCACCAATTGTGCAATGGGTGATACACAAAGTCCAGAGCGATTGAAACATTATCAAGAGACCTTTATTAATAAGATCTGTGGCTTTCAGGAAGGTAAGAAAACAGAATGCAGGAAGAATGGCGAAAGAAAATGGCAGCCATCAGGAATGTGTAATTCTTGTGGGTTTTAAATGCCATCTGGACCTTGTTTGACAGTCTCTAATTAAAAACAAATATTTCTTACTGTTCCTATAACCAATACAGCTTTATAAGCTTAAATCCAACTTAAATAACTGCAGGACTTTTATAGTTTCTCTTGTGGACCTGTGTTTATTGACTTAGGGTTAAGACTGGAGCAGAGCCCAGAAAAAGTCAAAAGTGGCCATAAGGTTTTCTGTTACAGATCGCCTTCATTGCCAGGGCCAGTAGAGATTCAGGTTGTTTTTGTTAGCTTTAATGTATACCATGCCAAGGATGCAGTAATTTTTAACTGGAGCAGATGTTCAATTTGAACAAGTGTATTGTTTTAATTGAATAGCCGAAATTAATCACGGGTTATGAAAGAATAGAATTTCTCCCGTCTTGAACATTTTCAGTAACGTCTGAATTGAGAAGCCAGACACCAAGGTCATACCGCAGACACCCTCTGCGACATCGAGAGAGAAGTGTCATTGTGGGCTTTCTTGTTTTGGAAGGGAGATCAAGGAATGCAGGACATAATTTAAATTACTCACATAATTGTTTAATGCAAAGCTATGTTCGGCAACAGGTCAATTTCCAGACATCAGTCTTTAACTTTGACTACTAAACCATCTCTTTTTTTGTTTAAGTAACATATAGAAATGTGAAGCTTTTCTGAAGTGGTCTCAAATGGCCTTCCCATATTTCTGCAAACTCTGCTTTTGAACTTTCCTGTGTGTCATCTTTCTCCTTTGTCCAGAACAGCTCAAAGGTGATAACAGTGGAGGGAATTTTCATTGTCCCAGATGTTCTTTGAATAACTAATTAGGATATCTCTAAGTGCAGTTCTTTCTAACACACAGGCTTTATTGGATATTTATAACATGTAAGTGGAAAAAATAGCAACAAGAACTAAAAATATGACAATTAAGATCAGTCTTTACAGTTGCACAGGCTCTGGGAGATCGATGTGGGTTTGCCCCAATGACAAGCAATGCTTTAATTTTTGGAATGTGTCCACAGCAGTTTGGAAACGTCTCCTAAATATGTGACAAAAGAACATCCCTGAAGGATGTGCTGTCTTTCACAGTCAAGCCGATGCTGCTGTTTCTGAAATGTGTCTGTTTAAAGGGTCACAGTTTAACATTTTGACGACCAGAATAATCTCAGATCCAATAATCAGAGTAAAAAGTCTTTACTTGCCGATATAGCATTTCTTTTCAAAGATAATTAAATTTACACATTTTTGGAAAACATAAAATACTTTGCCAAGAATGTGCAAAGAAAAGTTGAGGAAGTGCAAAAATGTGCACATACAGTATGACTTTGGTCCTGCTCTCTGTTCTAACTTGTATTATGAAGCACTGTTTCCCATAAGGCTATGGTCCTAGGTGTGCTCTTCTTTCATGCAATTTCAAAACCTTTTTAGTTGAAGATTGTTAACATTGCTAATTATCAGGAACCTTTATACTATCAGTGCCGCAACCTGAAACAGAAGAATTAAGCTAAGAACAGAAGTGTTCTGAATTTCCACCAGTTCCTTTCAAGAAGTCTGTGTAACAGCACAACAGGAAAGAGAAGGGGTTACCAGCTTCCCAGCAGTTTAGATTTTTTCATGATAAATGTTGACTTTATGTAACATGGAAAATTCTTTTTGTCTGAGGTTTTTTGTGTCCTCCCCCTCATGTACTTTTTTAGTGCTGAAGAAGCAGCTTCTCATCTGGTTTCTTGTTATTTCTTAATCGCAGGCACGGCTCTTTAATTTTTTTAATCTGAAAAAAAAAAGTAAGGATTCTGAAAGCCTAAATGAAAGCACAGCTGATGCGTGCCGCCTTGAATTCATGTCCGAATGCGATTGTGAAATCTGTAACGCCCCTTCTTCTTGTCTCCTCATCTTCTCCTTCTGCCAGTGTTTTGGTGTTTTGAGGGGTCCTGGGATTCAGTAGGAGTTAAAAAATGAATAGCTGAAAAAGAAAAAAAGACGTCTGTGTATTGTGTACCCTCTGTGGTGGAAAGGGGGACCATCAGTGATTTGCGATGTTAAGTTGCACTAGTTAATTAAACCACAAGACTCATTTGGACCGTCTGTTATCTGTCTTCTTGCTGCTGAGCTTGAGAAATGCCTCTTTCCTGGCCTCTCTGATGTCACCCCCCAGCTCTGTTCTGACTTCTCTTCTGCTCGGCTGCACACTTGGCATGACAGGGGGCACAGGCGGGCTAGCGTTATTCTAATGAGCCCCCAGGACAGCCCCTTTCGGAAGCGGCAGGTCCTGTTTCGGAAGGAGAGTTCAGAGGAGCTCAGTTATGATTTATGGGGGAGGAGGAGGGGGCAGCTTGCCTGTTGAGTGAGTGTTATTGATGCAGCACCACAATAGCATTAATCCCTGTTTTCATCAGGTACCTGCTTGATGTAATTCTAGATTTTGGCCTTTTCATTTTCCTTCTGTGCTTTTCCTTCCTTTTTTTATTATTAATGTGCCGTGAAAGAGGTACACGAAAGATGGGCAAGATCAAAGCCCCTTTTAAAGGTAAGTGGTTAATGTGAAATCCCCCTGGTATTAAAGTCTGCCTGTCAGACCCTGTCAGCTAGTTCTCCAGTCTCTCTCTGAACAATACAGGTTGCTGTGCCCATGAAAAGTTGTCAGGCAGGTGTTCCTACTGCTCTGTGGTTTTTCAGAGACCAAATTAAAGAAGTGCATGCAATGTCCTACTTCACCCAGTTTGAGTTTTCCATTATGTCTTTCAAGCATGGGTAATTTCTTTTACATTATTCTGCTCTGTGAATTGTTTTATATACAGTGGTAAATTGCTGTCCATCCCTAAATGTTTGCAAAGTGTTATCTATGATAATGAGTTTACATAACTGAAAATTGGTATCTTGAAAGAATACAGTACCAATATATTTGAAAAGATAACCACTTGCTGGTCTATACTTTTTTTAATCTTCTCACAAGCATTGGATTTTCTAAATGAAAATAAAAGTTTAATTTACTACAATTTAATCAGTAGTAAATGGATATCTTTCAGAATTGTATTATACTAGAATTTTGGCAGTAGCAGTTCATAAACCATATGAAAACTAGTAGGATCATGCAGCAATTTCCTGAACAAAGACTACTGCAGTAAGGCTGTGAAAGTATTTAATCAGCGAAAGGCAGATTCTAATTTTTCACTCTGCTGTTTTTTTAATCATTCCACCTTATTTTCATGACGTTTTTTTATTTTTTTCATTTTTGTTTTATAGAAATCAAATTTCATGATAAATTTGAACTGAAATGTGTGTCTTTCATTGTGCCGGTGTTAATCCGGGGCTGATAAAGTTTTTTTTTTTTGAATGGAAAGAATTGGAACGCTGTTTCTAAATGCCATAATCTCTTCTGCTGTAGCAGTTTATCAGGAGGTAGTAACTGCGTGACGGTGATTATTGAGGTGCGATGAGATTGAGATATCTGCCGAGCAGTTTCCTTTCATTTTAAAGAGTCGTGTCGGCTGTCAGGGGGGAAGAAACCCTGTTCTTTTTCTGAGTAGTCAGGGCCTTTCTCCTGTGATTCTGTCCTGTGATGAGAAAAAGACTGTAATTAATGAAGCTTGTGGGAACCTTGACCCTTCAAGTGCAGACGTCCGATTCTCAATAATATGGTAAAAGACCAGTGGCCAGGTTTTTATTACTGCTCATAATGAACAGAATGACAGCGGTTAGGTTAAAATGTAGATTCTTATTTATTTTTTTAACTGTATTGATTTATTATAGGCTGCTGTGGTGTTTGACACCAAAGCAGATCACACCAGCGATGACAGAAAACCAGGATTTCAGTTTTCCATCAGGAGCATAAGAAGGGATTTCGCTTTTATTTATTTTTTAAGTAAAGCATCTTTGCTTTCACTTTGTTATTCAGAGGAAGACTTTATTTAAATACTTTCTTACGCAAACGGACATGACTTCTACAGCACGATCAGTGTGGAATCAGAGGGGAAAGGCTGAAATAGTCTACACTGCAGTTCTCGTGGCACTTTTTTTGGTGTTTTTGCCCCTGAACTTCATTGCAAACAAGACCTTGGCCTCAATGAGTCTGATTAAATATGTGAGAGGAATAATTACAATTTGCTGGAGGATGCGATTCCACAACCCTGCTGTTTATTGATGTTGCATTTAATTAATAATTTATTTAAATTGCCAGGTTTCATTATCATTGTGGACAAATAAATTATTGTTTTCAAGGAGGCCTGGTTAATTGTTTTTTGAAGCTACGGAGTAGTAATTAGTTGAAAGAGGGCAAGGCGTAACTGCAGACATTCAGTGTGAGCTTTCTCATTGTGTGTAAACAGGCTGTAA